CTATCTGTGTTCTGCCCACCGCGGGTATCGAAACCCGGTTTCTAGCGTTGTAAGTTCGCAGACATACCGCTGTGCGACTGGGGGGGGGGCTGCACGTAAAGGAAGTGCGTGAAGTATTTTATTTTAATACGATAAATCACATAAGTGTAACAAATCTAACACATTGATCCCACGAACATACTACATCCTGCACAACACCGAAAAGACATTACGGTCCTGTGTATTACAGCCACTTCATAACAAAAGTAGTTTCTCTGAATCAACTTACAAGGTAGTATGAGAGTCATAACTTGATGAGTGAGTACTGAGTTATTGTTTAGCACTCTATATAATCCCCGTCACGCCAAACATGCTCGCCCTTTCAGCCGTGGGGGCGTTATAATGTGAAGGTCAATCCCACTATTCTTTGGTAAAAAAAAAAAAAGTCAAGAGTTGGCGGTGGGTGGTGATGACTAGCTGCCTTCCCTCTAATCTTACACTGTTAAATTGGGGACGGCTAGCGCAGATAGCCCTCGTGTAGTTTTGCGCGAAATTCAAAACAAACAAACAAAGCACTCTATATTCAACATTCACGGCTCTGTTAATTGTATTTAATTAAAATTAAGGTCATGTATTCTACTAATATTTATAAGCTACGAATTACATTATTCAGTTTCTTGTCTCTGTATCAACGTTTTAAGAGAACCGTGGAAACACACGTTTTACAGATTCTTAGTTTCTATCGAGTTTGGTATCATTGCGCTGCGTCAGTAGGAGAGTGACATTTGTTCCATCACCCCTATTCGGTTTATTTATGTACGAGGAGAAATAACACCACATAACAACATTCTCCTGTAGCTCTTATAACGTCTATGAAATGCTTGCTGTGTCGAAACTAGTTGGGCATTTTATATAGATAGTGTGTCTTAATGGTAACATTTAATTTCTGGTTTTATCCAATAACCTATTTGTGTTTAAAAAGTTGTTTTATCATATTTTAATTCTCATACTTTGTTTGCATTATCGTGTTCACAGAGGACGCTGCTGTACTTGTTCCGAAGAATTATTTCCCCCGAAACGAGATTTATGATATCAGAGGATGTAAAACTTACCTTTTCCGAGTTCGATCGTCAAGGTAATCACGTGACGAACTTGAAGAAACGAATTGATTAGTCCGTAGTAGTCGTCTTTGGGACGAGGTTGGCAATCCAGTGCTGGTTGAAACCTAGGAATAAAAAAACATAGAAGTGTCAAGATCTGTGGCAACGATACAAGGTTGATAGTAGTTAGAGCCTAACAGCCCCTTCTTCCACCACAGAATATGATGGTCCTGGTTAGAGCCTAACAACCCCTTCTCCCACCACTGATTACGATGGTCCTGTTTAGTGCCTAACAGCCCCTTCTTCCACCACTGAATATGATGGTCCTGTTTAGGGCCTAACAGCCCCTTCTCCCACCACTGATTACGATAATCCTGTTTAGAGCCTAACAGCCCCTTCTTCCACGACTGATTATGATGGTCCTGTTTAGAGCCTAACAGCCCTTCTTCCACCACTGATTATGATGGTCCTGTTTAGTGCCTAACAGCCCTTCTTCCACCACTGATTATGATGGTCCTGTTTAGAGCCTAACAGCCCCTTCTTCCACCACTGATTATGATGGTCCTGTTTAGAGCCTAATAGCCCCTTCTTCCACCACTGATTATGGTGATTATGGTTAGGAACTATTGTTCTGAATCACAGTTTAAACTAAGGTCAACATTGTTATACTCCTGTCTTGGCTTCCAAAGTCCATCAACCCGGAGTGGACGATAAGACTTTCGAAGGTTTATTGAAGCAACCCAAAAGTACAGAAGTCTATGGAGTTGCAAGTGATTGTTTAACAGGGGCACCCACAAATTTATGGCATGATTTCCTGTTTGTAGTTGTATCTTGTGGAAGATCTGGCATGTTAACTTGGACGTGTGGCTGGATTGTTTGTCTTGATGGAGCCATACTTTACTGGCATTTAGTCTACACAGATATGATACCTCATCGCGTGCATGGATAACACTTTGACACGTGTGGTATCGCCACGCTAGAGTGATAACACCTTGAAAATTTTGGTGTCGCCACGCTAGATGGATAACTCCTTGACATTTTTCTTGGCTCATTGGATGTTTGACATTATATCTGTAACCTGCAACCACCATGAATACGTAAATATTTCCTCGACCCATCGCCAGGTGGTTAGGGCTGGCATGGCCGGGTGGTTAGGGTTGGCATGGTCAAGTGGTTAGGGCGCTCGACTTACAATCTGTGGGTCGTGGATTTGAATTCCTGTCCCACCAAACACTGTGGGGGCGTTATAATGTCACGGTCAATCTCACTATTCGTTGGTAAAAGAGTAGCCCAAGAGTTGGCTGTGGATGATGATGACTAGCTGCCTACCCTCTAGTCTTTCAGTGACAAATTAGGGACGGTTAGCCCAGATAGCCCTCGTGTAGCTATGCACGAACTTCCAAATATACCAAATCAAACTTCCTCGACGTGTTTTGTACCTTTTTAAAAATGTTGTATCGCTGGTAGGGTGACAATAAATTGTCTGAATTTTGTCACTAGATGTCACTAGTGCAGCTTTATAGTTTTGATCTTCCATTCAACTATGTGATTTGGGCGTAGGTTGTGAACACGGATTCTGTGGAGCTTTTATAGGGATAAATCTACGTGAGTTATCTTGTTTACAGTTCCAGAGAGACGCCTGTTTAACTATTTAGTTGTTGTAACTAGTGGCCGGTCTTGACAAACGGCAGAATAAAGTGGCCCACAAATTTTGGTAGATTTACAATTCTACAACTTGAATTTAGTTTCGGAGAAGTTCAACCCTCAACATTAGCCCTGGACAGGAGCAACTCCAAAAAAAACAAGACTAGGGTCCTTATATTGGTGGAATATACATTATATGAATGGCGTTTTTAGTTGTTTGTTCCCCGCCACAGTAACTTATATTGGTGGAATATACATTATATGAATGGC